CTTGTTCTGAGGAGTGCCACTAACAACCCAAGTGTTGGCAGCAATAGATGCTTGAACTATAGACAAAAGAAAACACTGGTCAAGACCAAAGGCAAAAAAGAAAGTTCAACTGGAGAAATAATTTCATCGGCCTATGGGTATACCTTTAGGGTTAGTGAACTGGATGACTACATCCTCCTTGAAAATATTGACCTCCTCAATTGCAGGAATAGCATTCACCCCTATTCTCTTCAGTGTGCTTTGCAGTCTTTTGTCATCCGTGGTGGTAGTCTTGTGAACAGCTTTCTTCTTTCTGCAATTATGGGCATGGTCACAAACAAGCAACCTATACAATACTTGCATTGCAAGGCCTAAACTTTCCAGTAAACTATGTCCTGATCAAAACAAGACCAATTGGAAATTATGTAGTTACTTTTGAGGAAATCAGAAACATAAATCACCAAGAAGAATCATGTTTCTCCTCAAAATTTACCCATTATGTGCAACCATATTCTCAGGAGTTAAATCACTGAGACAAATGAAGTACAAAACACAAAATTATTGTTTCCACTAGTGAGGGACATTAAAATCTATTTCTCATTACAGAAGACTATGGTATCAAGCATCAACAGTATGTCTCACAGAAGAAGCTCAAAATCCACAAGTATTCTTCCATGGAAATGATGCGGCAACAGTAGATCTCAAATGACAAGCTAACAATCAAGTATATAGCAAAATACTATGTTCCTCTATGTGTGCAGTAAAACTCTGTAATTCCTTTCAGAAAATAAAAATGCATGCACTTAAATGATGAATTGAAATATAGAATCAATTGTCACAGCGACACAAACCTTCTCATTGTACCCTTCCCACCAGTTCGAACTGAACCAACCATCTTCATTAGCTTTTCCACATTCATCTGTCATGAAAAAATTATAGGGCGTAGCCTATTAAGTATTAACAATTTCAGATGTCTTCGGATATGCTTATTTCAACATGCCAATATTTTAAGGCAAATTCATATTTCAAATAAAGATCTACTTCATGGAGAAACTTCCCTAGGTCCTCTTATGCTATAGCTCGTCCCAATAAGAATATGCAGTTTTGCCTCATAGGGCATGCAGACCAATACATATGTAAAAATAATGAAAAAAGGTTTAATAATAAGTGCCAAAAGGTAAAGTTTTTCCGCATACGAGGGATTCAATTTGGCTCCAACTTTCCACTAAAATATTGTTTTCACGAATAGCAGCAACTATAACACAGCATGTCATAAGCACAATCATCATGACCATATAAGCCAGGACAGAATGAATAGACATGATGAAGTTGAAAAAATCACCCCAAAAACGAAATTATGTACTAATATTAATGTCTTTCACAGCAATTGGCAAAAGAGGCGATTAACATAACTATATAATAGCAAAAACAGAATCGTTTAAATTATTTTCTCTTGCTCTCACATATATTCTTATTAAAAAGGACTACAGCTGCAATAAACACTATATTTTAACAAAAAGATAAACTAACCAGATATATAAATGGACATTATAAAAGCAAACAAATGCTGGCAGAACATCCAGAGTAAAAATCCCAAGTTCCAAAACCAATAGTACAATGAAAAGCACAGATTACAAAAAAACTGTAAACCTAAATTTACAAGTATTCGACTTTAAATTAAAAAATTAATCTGAAAAATAAAAATACGTATTAAAATCAACAATAGACAGGAATCTAATACTAGAGTTCAATCATTATTAGCGGAAATAAATATAAATACAAATTTAAATTCCCAAAAATACTAAAAACACAGATATACACACACACAGATAAACACGCAAAATATACATATATATGTTCGTGTATCCATGTGTGCGCATATATTTTTTGGATTACCTCTAGGAACAGTGGAGTATAAAAGGTGTTGATGCTAAGCGAGAGCGAGGAATTGAGTGTGAAATGGGGGAAGGAGGAAGAGGATAACAAAAGAAACCCTAGTGTCAGCCTCTTTTAATTATTCGCGTATTCAGGGGTATGTTAGGTATTTGAACCTTTTTCCCTGGGATGTTTGGCTAAGCTTAAAAGTGAGAATAATAAGCTTCTGTTTGACGTTCTTTATTTTAATTTAAGGGAAAATTGCAGTCACGGTACCAAATATTTCACATTTTTGGAGACTTTGCCCAAACCTTTATTTTGTGCCATCCATGATACCAAACCTTTAAACAATTCGCATCCGAAATCCAAATGGACGGTTTCCATCCAGTTGACCGTTAGTTGATCAAAAAAGTCAAAATTGACCAAATTCATTGAGGACAAAATGGTAATTTTGTATTTTACATTAAAAATGATTATAAAGAAAAGAAAAAGGAAAGGAAAAAAAAAAAACTACTGTTCATCTTCTTCACCCCCTCCTCCACCAACGCCCCAGTCATCTTCTTCACCCTCTCTTTCCCTCACCCCTACTTTATTTTTCATTTTTTCTTCCTAGCCCGTCCCCACTTCATCTTCTCTTATTGACAGCCAATATAGAATTCAAAGTTGGATATATAACTACCAAGATATGGGTCATTTTGTCTCAAAGCCCGACTCATCGACTCAGAAGTAACTAGAATCCTTGTCACAGCCCTTATGCATACAAGCAAATGTATATGGAGGAATCTATTCATCAACAGGCAAAACATTAATTGATGTTTCTTGATTTCAAGGGCTTTTGATTTATGAGAGAAATTATTGGCTTAATAGAGAAGGGTAACCACTCTTAAAGAATTCCCAGTTTCTTTGCAAACGTCATTCATTTTCGCTTCCAAGAAAAATAAAAATAAAAATAAATCAGCTCCAAGAGGTACGATACATTTTCTTCTCTTCATAATTACCCATTAAAATAGAAATACAAGTGTGGAAAGAAATTTGAGGCTCAGATCTATTTTCAAGTCAAGCAAGAGAGACGGTCACGCCATGGCTGCAAAGTCATCGACTGTGTGTAAAATAGAAGGGGAAAAAGTCGACCCACATTCCATCAGGGTTACCCCGCCAAGATATGAATTGTCTCACTACCCATTTCATCTGCTTAGAGGAATAAGACGATTATCATCACAGCCTCTTAAATCTTACTCAGCCACTTTTTAGCTTTGCCAAACAAGTAGTTCCCTCTTTGGCTAGAGAAGGGAAACTGAGGTGGGGTGGGGTGTTGGTAGAAGAGTGGGTGAAGAAGATGAAATTATTAAGAGATGGTGAAGAAGACGACTGGGGTGTTGGTAGAAGAATGGGTGAAGAAGATAAATAGTATTTTTTTTTTTTTGTTTTTTTTCTTTTCTTTATAATAATTTTAAATGTAAAATACAAAGTTACCACTTTGTCCTTAATGAATTTAGTCAATTTTGACTTTTTTGATCAACTAACGGTCAACTGGACGGAAGCCGTCCATTTGGACTCCGAGTGCAAATTGTTTAAAGGTTTAGTATCGTGGATGGCACAAAACAAAGATTTTGGTAAAGTCTACAAAAATGTGAAATGTTTGGTACCGTGATTACAATTTTCCCAAGTTTTAATAGTATGATCATCGAAAATTTTGTCCATTACACATGTCCTTGTGCATGTTTCGCATGAAAACACTACAAAGTACAACAATAAATGAATGTTGTCTTCAAAATTTTGAGAATTATAGATGAAATGAATTTATTTATTCATATTTTTATTTCACACATTACCAGTTAGAGTTTTTTTTTTCCTCCATATTCGTAACCATGCCAATAATTTTTCTTTTGAGCAAGGTAAGTGAGTTGATCCATAATATTTACTATTTAGTGTTTGTTTAAGTTTTGTTATGAGCTACCAAAATTATAATGCGATAGAAATGAGTAGTGTATGAGACTATGAGTAAGTAATCATTGTGGATTATGTGAAACATGTGATGACTTCAACATTTAATTATAAGGAGTTTAATGAAAAACAAACAAGCCCTTACTCTAGTTGTATATACGTACTCTAATTTTTAAGTTTAATTCGAACTACGCGATTGAACTCTTAACGAGTCTCAAGCGATTACACGATATTATTGGCTGTAATTAATCCTATTTAACGTAAATTGTGTTGACTCTGACTGATCAATTTTAATATTAAAAAAGTTAAGAAAATCATCTATTTAATCGTGTTTTTCAATTAATTTCAATTTCATTTTCATCCATATATACCCACAAAATTGTAATTTTCAAACTTTTGTAGCTTTTTTTGTTTTATATCTAGTCTTACAATCATCAATAGTAAAGTCTTTAAAAAAAAAAAAAATTGCGTAAAATGAGAAAAGTTGTATCAAAAGAGAGACAAAAATAACGGGCTACCGTTGAGACCCGTCAAGTCGTTAACGTTGTGACCGTAAATGTCTCAAAATCCAACCAAGTGTCCTTTTACCCCAACTCCATATTTCTCGCTCTCCATTTAAATTCTCCCTCTCTTCCACCTCCTTCACAATCACCCACCCCCTCCGCCAGGTAACACCATATTATTCATATTAATTCATTTGGATTTTCTTCTACTTTCTACTTAAACTTCATCATCGTCCATCGTTCATCAATCACGTGCACCTGTACATGTTGATAAGGTCAAATCCTACTGAATAACGATGAAATATACATATGACGTATAAGAGTTTTAGTGTGATTATTAGGAGAAGAAAAAGCTCGTTTAAAAAGACGAAGATTGAAATGTTTAATTTCTCTATCATTTCTTAGATTTTGATTAATATGTGAAAAAAAATTATTTTCACAATTAATTGCATGCAGAAAATTGCTTTTTATTCATAATTTTTTAATAATGCAGCTATACGTTCACATATATGTTTGTAAAAATCACTAGTATATGTTTTTGATTATTAACCTTGTGTGATAATTCATTTTTCAGAAGTGGAGGTGAATACATAGAAAGAATGAGAGGAGATAGCGTCACCATGGGATTGCACAAGTGATTAATTGAAATAGTGAGAGACTCATAAATTTATTGATAGAGCAAACTTCGATTTAGAAAAGATGTCGTCGAACGTGGGGAATGAATCATTAGGGCAGCAATCGACGTTGACGCGACGACCATCGCGTAGCGCTGCCAACACTGTATTCTCCATGGAGGTGTTTGACAATGAGGTTGTCCCATCATCACTCCAATCAATTGCCCCTATCCTCCGTGTAGCCACTGAGATCGAGGCTGATCGTCCTCGTGTTGCATACCTATGTACGTCCAATTATAATTGCACCTTCAATATACAACACATGCACATGCGCCCATATACTATACAACCATAATTGTAAACATTTGGCATCGCTTCTATTAAGGTAGATTATACGTTGGATCAAAAACATTGATAAGAAAAAGAGCAATTCTTTTTGTCTAATATATATATTAAGCTCTTGTTTGATCCTCTTCTTTTTCAAAATACATATTTCTCCTTCTTCTTTTCAATTACACATACACATTTTTCAATAAAATAATATTGCACGCAAATTCAAAAAAATTTCTTATTTTTTAACCATATATTCTTCATCAATCTATTATTTTAAAATACATTCTATATATAAAAAAAAAAAAGGGATTCAAACAGGCGCTAAGTACAAAACATGATGTTAAAATATTTATTAAGAAGAAAAATACCAATTGTACAGTGTTTAGAGGACTGTAATTTTTACGGCCCTTTCTAATTAGTGTGGAGCCCTCTAAACACTGTAAGTGTAATAGTGTTCTATTAAGAATTCAAAGATTTTATCACTCAAATTTATTTTAATTCTTCATATTTGTCTCAACAACGGCACTTCAGAATAAATATTTTTTTCTTTCCAAAACATGGAAAAAATAATTTTATAAATAAATAAACTTTAGTTTACTTTTGAAATAAGCAATTAAAAGCATGCTCTAATTTTTAATTTTATTGGAAAGCTAAATTTTACCCACAGAAAAAGATTTTTTTTTTTTTTTTGACACAAGTAACTTTAACGTTTTACTTACCATTGCCATTTCGAGTTATTTGAGCAATATGTACGTTGCTCTGGCGCCATTGTTAAGTAAACACAAATTATGAACTGTTTTGCTATTCTTTACGCTCTGAAGGTTGTACCTTGCTTTGGAAGAAAATATAAAGTTTCGCCGGAAAGAGTTTAACGGAAAAAAAAAAAAAAAATTCCCTATAATTTTGATTTTTTTCAAGAAATGAATTTTTGATGCAGGCCGATTCTATGCGCTGGAGAAGGCGCACCGACTGGACCCAAGCTCTAGCGGCCGTGGTGTTCGTCAGTTCAAGACTGGCCTCCTTCAGAGATTAGAGAGGGTATGCAGTTATGTTTATATAATCGACTTGGCTTTTTGAGTGATTTCATGGATATTAATTTCATTTCCCTCTTTATTCCTTGACTATTATGCACGTTTGTTTGGATTCCAAGAATCTGGCTGCTCTTCTGAGTTTTTAGGCTGATCAAATTGATGGTTTCACATGTTCGAGCCTATTGAGTATTTGGTTAATCTTTTCAAATTTTGTGTATCTTTTTGATAGAACAGTGTTCCTTTTGAGGCTTTATAGCTATTCGATTTTCTAGTTTTTTTGATAATTCTCGTTGTTTTATCTTCAAGTGTGTTTGTTTTGTGTATACCAACAAACTACGTGAAAACTATCGGTGGCTTCTCAATGAGGTATTGGGTGGTGAATGAGAGTAGTTTATTTACGTAAATGACTGAGAGTTCAGATTTACTAATAGAAATGAGTTTCTTGGATAGTTGGATTGTGAAGGTATTGGTGATTTAAATATGTTGAGAAGAGGTGAGAAATCCTCTTTGCTTTTAATTCTGTTCTTTTGAAGAATTTGGCTTCTTCTAGTTGTATATTTCCGTTTCTTTATATATTTTTAATATTCATTCATTATGTTTTGAAAAAAAAATCAATTGATTTCAAAAACTGTTCTCGATGTAACTTGCAAGGCAGAACTCTTCATATGAAACCTTCCGGAATCAAATGAAAATAACAACCAAATGATTTAAAAATGTCTGGCATGAAATGTGAAGTGGACAAAGGTGACTTTTTGACATAGAATTTATCCTGGACTGTTTTAATTTATATGAAATCCAAGTTATATTTTTCAAGGATTAACTTGATGGAAAACTCTCATGCAGGATAATAACTCAAGTCTTCCTGCTCGGGTCAAAAAGACTGATGCTCGGGAAATTGAGAGCTTCTACAAACAATACTATGAGAAATATGTTGTGGCACTTAGCAAGGGGGAACAAGCGGATAGGTACTGGAAACATATTGGTTTTACAGAATCCCTCTTGCTGCGAATTTGTTGAAACATATCTGTTTTTAGGCTCATTATTCTACTGTTATTAACTTTTTTCTAACAGAGCTCAGCTCGGCAAAGCTTACCAGGCAGCTGGAGTGCTGTTTGAGGTGCTTTGTGCTGTCAACAAGACTGAAAAAGTCGAGGAAGTTGCTCCTGAGGTTTGTTTTGACAGTAACTAACTGAATTATATATGTTGTAAAAATTGATGACAGAAAGCTCTTAACAATGTAAAATGTTGGTTGAACAGATTATGGCTGCAGCAAATGATGTCCAAACAAAGAAGGAAATCTATGCTCCATATAACATTCTTCCCCTAGATTCTGCTGGGGCATCACAATCCATCATGCAGCTAGAAGAGGTGCCACACTTGCACTATTCAGCCACCGGCATGCATATATGACTATGAACATAGAGTTCCTTAGAAAATACTAAGACATTGCACTCTTTATCACTGCCAGGTGAAAGCTTCTGTAGCTGCTTTGTGGAACACACGAGGCTTAAGCTGGCCAGCCTCGTTTGAACAGCAGCGACAGAAAGCGGGGGAGTTGGACCTTCTTGATTGGCTGAGGGCCATGTTCGGGTTTCAGGCATGTCTTGCTGAATAAGATATTGAGATGTTTATCGATGAGAATTGATTCAAATTTTAGCATAGAAACTTATTGTCACTGGATTGTTTCAATTCTACAGAGGGATAATGTCAGGAACCAGAGGGAGCATTTGATTTTATTGCTTGCAAATATTCATACAAGGCTCATCCCCAAGCCCGAACCACTAAACAAAGTTTGTATTCCTCTATCTCTTTTTTAAACTGAACGCTTCCTATTACATATAGCTGGTGTATTTATTTCCTTGCTGCTGATATTTTACAAGCCTTCCATTCTCTTTTCCGTAGTGATACTTGTTTGATATTCCATGTCTAAACCAATTTTCTGATTTGCTCTCAGCATCTTATTCATAAGTAAACTTGGTGCACGTATATATTTAAACTGGGCTGAAATAAACTTAATATTTATCGGTTTTACTCAGCTTGACGATCGAGCTGTTGATGCACTTATGAACAAGCTTTTCAAGAACTACAAAACATGGTGTAAATATTTGGGAAGGAAACACAGCTTAAGGTGAGGTGATTGGGGTTGCTTGTCCTTTATTTGGGTGGTAGACTTGTGTAAAATGCCTATACAATTTTAATGTTACTGAGTTCAGGCTCCTAATGAAAAATATATGAATCTTATTGCTTGTAGGCTCCCTCAATACCAGCCAGATGTGCAACAGCGAAAGATACTTTACATGGGCCTTTATCTTCTTATCTGGGGTGAAGCAGCTAATGTCCGCTTCATGCCAGAGTGCCTATGCTACATTTTCCATAATGTGAGTTGTTCATTCATTTTTGTACATTTATTAAAATTAGTGTGAGATATTGTGTACATGTTAAACTCATTAATTAAAAACCGTATTTTTAATGCATATTTCTTGCGTTGTACGCATACATGTTCAGATGGCATATGAACTCCACGGTCTCTTAGCTGGAAATGTCAGCATTGTTACTGGAGAAAATATCAAACCTTCTTATGGAGGGGATGATGAAGCTTTCTTGCGGAAAGTTATAACACCCATTTATCGAGTGATTGAAAGGGTAATTTATTTTTCAGACGAATCACACAGTTGTAGGAATCCTTGTCCTTGTTTCATAGATAACATGATGGTGCTTATCATGTTCCAGGAAACCAAGAAGAGCAAAAATGGGAAAGCACCTCACTCAGCCTGGTGCAATTATGATGATCTGAACGAATATTTTTGGTACAAGTTAAATGTATATAATTCGCTACAAAAATTGAAAAAAGGATGATGGCTTTCTGGCATTCAGTTTCCTGAGAGTAAGGTTTGACCAATACTTTGTAGGTTGTCAGATTGCTTCTCTTTGGGTTGGCCAATGAGTGATGGGGGTGAATTTTTCAAATGGACACAAGATTCAGCAAAGGTAAGATCTACTCCGTGCAGAGGTTTTCTCTCATATGAATTAATACTTAGCTAGTTGGCTTAATATGATTGATGTTCCAGGGAAATCAAGCTCCTCAAAAAAAGCCAGGAACGATGGGGAAATCATTTTTTGTGGAAAGCCGGAGCTTTTGGCATAACTTTCGAAGTTTTGATCGTCTTTGGACATTTTACATACTTGCTCTTCAGGTATCTAATTCCAGCAGATAAAAGACTATAGTCGAAATTTCCTCTGCTCCTTTCTTCAGGAGATTGTGCTAATGTTAGGGTTATGCTGTTGCAGGCCATGATTATCATCGCATGGAGTGATGTTTCTATATTAGATATTTTCCGGAAGGATGTCTTGTATGACTTGTCAAGCATTTTTATCACGGCGGCCTTTCTTCGCTTCCTACAGAGTATGTTATTCTTGTTTATACAGCTAAGACAACGGCATCAAGGTTATCAAGTTATTAATTAGGTTTATACTAAATGTTTGTAAATTTAGCTGATGAGACAGTGAAATATTTTCTAGTTGAACTCATATGGATTTAAGTTTTAATTCATCATTTGATTGAGAAATAATTTCTCCCCCAAAATTTCATATAGGTATGTTGGATCTCATTCTAAACTTCCCGGTGTATCTTAGATGGAAGTTCACTGATGTATTGAGGAACATCCTCAAGATAATTGTCAGCCTTGCTTGGTCCATTGCTCTTCCACTATGCTATTTGCACCAAAACAATTCATTTTCATTTGGCAAGATCAAAGATATGCTCTCCTTCCTAGATAAGATTAAGGGAGTGCCTCCGTTGTATCTCATGGCTGTGGCTGTATACTTGCTACCCAATCTACTGGCAGTAACTTTGTTTCTTTTCCCAATGCTACGACGTTGGATTGAGAACTCGGATTGGCTTATTGTCAGGTTTTTCCTATGGTGGTCACAGGTATATCTATTACTCTCTTCTTGTCTTTTTCTATTCTTATGCAAGTACTCATCTCTTTTTGTACAAGTACAACTGACCGTAAAAATAGATAAGATGTGTTTGTCAGATTACCTCTGTTATTTCAGTAGACAGTGCAGATCAGATGTATGATATTCAACTTCTATATACGATTATTCATTTATTGACAAAGTGCTCTGAGTGAAGTAATTTTCAAATTTTAGCATATGCTGAACTGAAAAGAATGCATCTTTCTTTTTCAATCTTGCATGAATTTTCTCTTATGGTGAGAAGAAAATTTTCATTTGTTATCTACACATGGAAGAGATGGAGTGGGTGAACATATCCTTCTAGTTCAGTAAGCCGCCTCCTCAGACAGCGGTATTCATTTGTTTAAAATGATTTACCTTCACTTTTGTGTTTTCTATTACTTATTTCTGAGTTTAATTTGCTTGTGTAAATCATAACACTGTTTTTTGCCATAACATTTTGCTCCTTCGCTGAAGTATTTCAGCAAGAAATATTTTATTTCTTTAGTTACCGTCTGACCACATAATCAGACAAGCACTAGGTTTCAACTTACTTTGATGTCAGTATTACTCGTCCATCTAATCACCAGGTTAGCGTCATCAGTTATTTGGATTATTTAGGCAACATTTTTCAAAATTTGTTTTGATTTATACGTTGAGACACGATTTGAATGAAATACATGTGGCAACCTTTAACAACTTAAACTTTTAGATCAAGTGGTTTAACATGGTGTCAAAGCACTAAGTTCATTTCTTTTCAACACCATTTAATGAAATTGTGCACGTGTCATGTTTTGAGACAAAATTTAAATACATACTTATGCTTTCAGATCAAGCGGTTTTGTTCAATAGAATTAGGCTTTGACAGATAGGAGAAATAGCTGGAATTCAGGAAAATAAGATTGATGAGGCACATCTTTGTAATTATTTGTATACACAAAATAGAATTTCAACTCAACTTTGAACTTTTGATTTAAGTTTGTTAATTGATTTTAGAAAATTGCTAAGTTTGCATTTATTCTTGTTATGCATTTCTACGGACAATCAATTAATCGAAGTTCTTTTTATTGTTATTATTTAAAAATTGAAATGGTGCTCTCTCTTTCATGCTTTCATACCTCCCCTTCTATCTTTGTTGCATTTTTATTTCTTTACACAGTGATGATGTGATTAATCTGAAATGACTTTGTTTGACCTTTTGCAGCCTAGAATCTATGTGGGAAGGGGAATGCATGAAAGTCAGTTTGCCCTAATCAAGTATGTACTCCATAGATTGCTTGCTGTATGACTCTGATTCTTTTTACATCTACATTGACTGTGATTTCATCTTATTAACTGATATCAGGTACACTATCTTTTGGGTACTGCTTTTATGTTCAAAATTCGCATTTAGCTATTTTATCCAGGTAGATTTCACACCTTCATGACATAAATTGTTCATAAATTTTATGATATTGTGGGCGACTTACCAATTTAATTATCTTGTTTGATCCAGATAAAACCTTTGGTGAAGCCCACTAAAGATATAATGAGAATCCGCCATGTCACGTTTGCTTGGCATGAGTTCTTCCCAGATGGTATGAAATTAGTTGTACTGTTTTGATTCATACACATTTTATCTACTTGCAGCATGTAGACAACATTCTTGTACATGTGCAGCTAAGCACAACTATGGTGCTGTTCTTTCACTTTGGGTGCCAGTTATCTTGGTGTGTCTTTCTTATCATTAACTTGTTTCCTCTTATACTATTTTCATACAATATAGTATTAATAACGTTCTTTCCCTCGTGGTTGTTTAGTAAAAAACTCTATTCATTTAGAGTATAAGAGTAATTTTCTTCCCATTTTTTCCGTTTTAGTTGTGTTGTCCATGACGAAGTATCAGTTTTGCAGGTTTACTTTATGGATCCTCAGATCTGGTACGCCATATACTCCACCATATATGGTGGTTTTATTGGGGCCTTTGATCGTCTCGGCGAGGTACTAGCCTCTATTAAGCTCATTCAGTTTTTGCTTTTTGTGGTCTTCTTGTCACGTCTCTTGTTTTGTCATGTTTATTCAAATTTAAGATCTCGTCGTTTCCACCTGCAATGCATTTGGGCTGAGGAATAAACCATGAGGCTCTAGAAATGTAAACTCAGTAGCTTCTTGCATAGAAAGCAGCTTTGTAAATTTGCATTAATTCACGCTGAAAGAACTAGTTACTTTTTTATATCTGGCCATACTAGTTTTTGATTTCAGTGACACTGATATACATTTGCCTTTCCATAGATACGGACTCTGAGCATGCTAAGGTCACGCTTCCAGTCTTTACCTGGTGCATTCAACGCTTTTCTAGTACCTTCTGACAAAAGGAGGAAGAGAAGGTTTTTTCTCTCAAAGCACTTTAATGAGGTTTCTCTTCATCCTTCCACACATGATTTATTTACAGCACCTAAATAATGGGTGATATCAACCATTCTGAAAATATATATTATTTTCAATTACAGGGTTCAACAAGCAAGAGAAGTGAAGCTGCAAAATTTGCTCAGTTATGGAATGAAATAATATGTAGCTTCCGCGAAGAAGATCTCATAAGTGACAGGAAATGATCCTCATCTGTCTTCATTCTTTTTATCATAATTCTGTTATGATCTGTCTTTCAAGATTCTTTCATACAGTAGGAATTGAATTTGATCTTCTATAACTCCAGGGAGATGGATCTTCTTTTAGTTCCTTATTCTTCAGATTCCAGCCTGAAACTAATCCAGTGGCCGCCGTTTTTACTTGCTAGCAAGGTAACTTCAGTTTAATTGTCTTTTGCATCTACTTTCTGTATTAATTCTCTGACAAGCTTGCATTGTAGATCCCAATCGCATTGGACATGGCAGTTCAATTTCGATCAAAGGATGCTGACCTTTGGAGGCGTATATGTGGTGATGAGTATATGAAATGTACTGTCATTGAATGCTATGAATCATTCAAACATGTTCTGAATGCTTTGGTCGTTGGAGAAACTGAGAAAAGGTTTGTTAATTATACTTGTCATGGACCTAATTGGCAAGTTAATGTAATATACATTTAGCCTGTGAAAATGTGCACGCTATTTTAAATATGCCATAGAACATTGTGAAAAGGCTAGAAACAGTTTCCGATCTTGTTTATATGCTGGTCTACTTCCATATATGTGTGTATTTGTATGTTCATATAGTCATATCTTTTCACTGTAGTCAATTTTGTTGTATTATCCCCAACTTCGTGTTTTCTTGATCCCTATCTTGCTAAGATGATTATCCACGATTTTAGGTAATGGTGAATTTCCACTGCATATAGCCCATGGACATATCCCTTGTTTGATACACATTCTTACAAAAATTCATTCTTTCAAAACTCATTTTCAACCATACATTCTTCAATAAAATAATATTACACGTAAATCCAAAACTTTTCCTTATTTTTGACCACATATTTTCCATCACATCACATCATAAAATGCATTTTCTTCTCCATAATGTGCATCAAACACCCCCATAATGTCTGAATAGTGAATACCATCTCTATCTAGCCTTCCTTTTAGATTTCCTTGCTATTCCTAGTATCTATACACGTTTCCTCTAATTCAAAACTAACAAGGAAAATGAAAACTCACATTCAATTCGTGAGGGTTCAATCAATAATTGTCTTTTTTTTTTTTGTTCTTTTCCCTACATTAGTATAAAGCATTTGTAAAAGTTGAAGGAGATTGAGCAATATCGTTGTCACCGTTTCAGTTCTAATGCCATTTTCTATGTAACAGAATAATAGGAATCATCATTAAAGATGTTGAAAGCAACATATCAAAGAATACATTCCTTGCAAATTATAGAATGGGTCCTTTACCTGATCTTTGTAAAAAATTCGTGGAGCTTGTAGAGATGTTGGTAAGTTGTTTCCAATTATATATCATAACATATGCAAGTTTTGAACTTCATTTTTCATTTCCCTGAAATTTAAATCTTTTTATGTATTGCAGAAAGATGGTAACCTGTCCAAAAAAGATAGAGTTGTCTTGTTGCTACAAGATATGTTAGAAGTAGTTACTCGTGACATGATGGTGAATGAGATCCGGTTGGTTGATTATCTAGTATTCAGAAGTACTGGTATTATTATTCTTCAAAGATTTGGGTCAGTATTTGTATTATTTTTGATAGATTCTTGTGAAATTTCTTTGTGTTCATTGAATACAGTGAGCTGGCCGAACTTGGTCATAGTAATAAGGATTCTGGAAGACAACTTTTTGTCAATATTTTGTTTCCTCCTCCAAATACAGCACAATGGGAAGAGCAGGTACTTGATAGCAAGCAAACAAAACTACATATATGTATATATAGACATAAATGTGGAAACACTCACAAACAAAAAGTTGGACATCTATTTTGTCGAATAACTGAAGAAAAATTACGAGTGTGTTTTCACAGATACGGCGTCTTTATATGCTCCTAACCGTAAAAGAATCTGCCATTGATGTGCCAACAAACCTTGAAGCACGTCGAAGGATAGCATTTTTCACAAATTCACTCTTTATGAATATGCCACGCGCTCCTCGAGTTCGCAAAATGCTTTCATTCAGGTGCAGCTCATAGTCTTTTAAGTGCATGCGATGTTCATGTTTTGAACTTCTTGAATAAATTGAATAAACATATTTGTAACATATCAATTGGCATGGCAGCGTCATGACTCCCTACTATAGTGAGGAGACTGTTTATTCAAAGAGTGACCTTGAAATGGAAAATGAAGATGGTGTATCAATTATATATTATCTTCAAAAAATTTATCCAGGTTTGAATAATGTTCTCATTTTTGCTCTCTATTTACGAGGCTATTTTTTTTATCTCGTGTTATTCTAATGTGATTTGTTTTGTTCTGTTTGCCAACCATAATAATACTTCATTCAGATGAATGGAATAACTTCAGGGAGCGTCTAAATTGCAACGAACAAGAGGTCTGGGACAATGAAGAGAACATTCTGCAAATACGTCACTGGGCCTCCTTGAGAGGACAAACTCTTAGCAGAACAGGTTATTTGGGTCTCTCGCTCTCCCCATTCTCTTTTCCCCAAAAATTGTTAGTTTGACAATATTTATTTGTTTTTCAGTTAGAGGGATGATGTACTATAGAAGGGCTTTGAAACTTCAGGCTTTTCTTGACATGGCTAGAGAAACTGGTACACTATATTAGATTTACAAAGGGATTGTACTGTCATATCTCTAGATTTTTGAGCATGCTTGAAACCGACAGAAAAGATGCTTATCATATGAATTTTAGTGATGTTCTAACAAGCATATTGCATGAATAACAACATATTTTTATTTCTACAGCGTCCTTGGAATCTATCCTAAAATATCCCTACTCTCTGGATTTTAACTATTTCTGCCTATACTGAACAGAGATACTTGAAGGCTACAAAACCGTTTCAGTACCATCAGAGGAAGATAAAAAGAGTCAGAGATCCTTGTATGCTCAATTAGAAGCTGTAGCTGACATGAAATTCACATATGTAGCCACATGCCAGAACTACGGGAACCAGAAGCGGAGTGGAGATCGTCGTGCAACTGACATTTTAAATTTGATGGTGAAGTAAGTTGTACGTTTTCTTGATGGAGTGCAAAGATTCTCTAGTTTGGATTTCTATTTACTTAATGAGCTCATATGATTTTCAATCTTGTTCCGTGTTCCCTCTGTGCAGTAACCCATCTCTTCGTGTAGCATATATAGATGAAGTTGAAGAAAGGGAAGGTGGAAAAAATAAAAAAGTTTATTATTCTGTATTGGTAAAAGCTGTTGATAATCTTGATCAGGTAATTATGGTTTAGTCAAAACACAAATTTGATCTGGTTGCATCTCAGGCTCTGACTTTTTTTGTTCTTCTCTGAAGGAAATCTACCGTATAAAGTTGCCAGGCTCAGCAAAGATGGGAGAAGGGAAACCTGAAAACCAGAACCATGCTATTATATTTAGTCGTGGGGAAGCTCTTCAGACCATTGATATGAACCAGGTAAAGTGTAATTTTGATGTCATTAAGCTGAGTGGGATTTTTTTAGCCAAAATAACAAGTTTTCCTGTTTCATTTTGTAGGACAACTATCTGGAAGAAGCTCTTAAGATGCGCAACCTACTTGAGGAATTTAATGAGGATCATGGGGTGCGGCCTCCTACTATTCTCGGTGTTCGTGAACATGTCTTTACAGGAAGGTTGGATGCTATTTTTGAGCTGTTGGTTAATCGATACATTCAGTTTTAGCTATATCTGATGTGATGTCACATCTTTACTACAGTGTATCATCATTGGCTTGGTTTATGTCAAATCAAGAAACAAGCTTTGTCACCCTTGGTCAAAGAGTTCTAGCAAGACCTCTGAAGTACGTTCTTACTTTCTCTCTTTTTAATGGATTCATATAATTCTTAAATATAATAGCATTGTCTTTCTTTGGTTATTTTCTGCAATGGAAGATGTCAGGATCAGATAGTTCAGAGATGTCAAAGTGACTATCCGTTTTCAAAAGCACAATCTTATGTTTGAATAATTAAGCAAAGTAATGTCAACTGAAAGTTTCTTTCCTCAAAAGTAGAAAAGCACAGTATACTCTTTTGCGTATAGATGGGAGCTGCAACCTCATCCCTTCCTTTTAGAGCATGCTTCAGCTGACTTTCAAGACACTACATTTTGTACATCAGCTACCCTTTGCTGGGCTTAATATCAGCTCCAGCAGCTCTGTGAAGCACTGGCATGTTGACACGTAATTTTTCACAAAAGTAGGATGGACACATCAACTAAAATACTGAGCAATTCTGTATCATTTTTTTATCTTCATACTTTTGTGATCTGATGATAATAATAATCCATTCAGACCCATCTGGAATTGGTCCTCTTACAGCCTGTTCTTGATTCTGTCTTTCTCCAATTGGTATTGTTTAGGGTGCGGTTCCACTATGGGCATCCAGATGTGTTTGACAGAATTTTTCACATTACCCGTGGTGGCATAAGCAAAGCATCTAAGGGCATTAATCTTAGTGAGGATATATTTGCCGGTGAGATATTAAACCACACATTTTGCTATCTTACTTACATTTCTACTTGAAATATACTTTACATTTTTGAAGGTTTCAATTCGACTCTGAGACGTGGAAATATTACTCACCATGAATATATCCAAGTTGGGAAAGGACGAGATGTTGGCCTCAACCAGATATCACTTTTTGAAGCCAAAGTTGCATGTGGTAATGGGGAGCAAACACTCAGCCGTGACATCTACAGACTGGGCCATCGTTTTGACTTCTTCCGCATGTTGTCATGTTACTATACAACAACTGGTTTTTATGTCAACTCAATGGTAATTTTTTTTATCTTCAAATAGGGTTCGTTAAATCTGAAAAAACAATACAATTGGGAGTAAACAATGTAATGACACTTATTTACATCATATTATCTACTTGGAAGTGTATTTATCATTTATTTTGTTTGAAAAGGGCACAGAAAATGAAGTCTTCAATGTAAAACAGCAATTAAAACTTTTTCTTCTTCTTCTTCTTTCCTGAGAGGGGGATGAGTTTAAACCAAGCAAATATAAATTAAGTATTGAATATTTGTCCTATAACTATTATTTACAGCCCCCCCTCTTTTTAAAGAAAAAAGATGATGTTGCATAAATTAAAGAATTTGAAGAGCTGAATTAGGTTTTCCCCCTCTAGTTCTTAAATACTCCTATCTTCTAAAACACTGTATCCAAGCAGAATGGAGTGTTCATTTTTCTTTTCTGCAAATTGGAATCTGTAGTTCTTTATGTGCCCTCCAGTTGTAAAATTTTCTGCTGAACCTGGTATTCCTTGTTTATATGCAGCTTGTGGTCCTTATAGTCTATGCCTACTTGTACGGAAAGCTCTATCTTTCACTTAGTGGAATGGAGACAGCCATAGTCAAATTTGCAAGATCTAAGGGAGACAATGCTTTGAAGGCTGTCATGGCTTCACAGTCACTTGTTCAACTTGGTCTTTTGATGTCACTTCCCATGATAATGGAAATCGGACTAGAGCGGGGCTTTAGAACTGCAATTAGTGATTTAATAATTATGCAGCTTCAGCTAGCTTCAGTCTTCTTTACTTTCTCTCTTGGGACGAAGCTCCACTATTTTGGGCGGACGATTTTACATGGCGGAGCTAAATACAGAGCCACTGGACGTGGTTTCGTTGTGAGACATGAAAAGTTTGCAGAGAACTACAGAATGTACTCAAGGAGCCATTTCACAAAGGCACTGGAATTGCTCATTTTGCTCATAGCTTATCAAATTTATGGTGCAGCAGCTCCGGATTCTACAATTTTCTTTCTTGTCACTTTCTCGATGTGGTTTCTTGTTGGTTCATGGTTGTTTGCACCTTTTCTTTTCAATCCTTCTGGATTTGAGTGGCAGAAGATAGTGGATGATTTTGAGGATTGGAATAAGTGGATAAGTAACCATGGAGGTATTGGTGTTCCAGCAGTCAAGAGTTGGGAATCGTGGTGGGATGAAGAGCAAGAGCATCTCGAACACACAGGTTTGTCAGGGAGGTTTTGGGAAATTGTCCTCTCTTCGCGCTTCTTCTTCTACCAATATGGAATCGTTTATCATTTGAACGTGGCCAATGGCGACACAAGTTTGATGGTAAGGATACAATTTTTTCTGGATTTTGCTGGTTGTCTTGCTTTACAATAACTGAGTGTACATAAATTTTGCAAGGTTTCACTTGAAATTCAAATTAATCAAACGATATCAATCTTTTAGTATCATAAATTCAATACAAGGCTTGATTTTGGATATGGAACAATTCTAAACCTTAGACATGCATAAATGGCTTTTAATTGGGTGGTTTGTACAATATTCAACAGTATATAAGAAGAATATGTGAAATCTTGTCTATTGTCCAATCCAGTCTAGTGTACCATACATGAAGCAAATGTTTGTTCGTTGACAATTTGGAATCCTGTTATTTTAAATTTCATTTTGGAAGAGAGTAGAGACACATTCAATGTCCATTTGTTGTCTTACATGCTAGTGTGATTACAGATTTATGGTCTATCGTGGCTGGTTATTGTTGCCGTGATGATAATCTCGAAGGTCAGTGCCCAAAGCCTAAATCAATCTGTTTTCTTTTTAATATAGATAGAACACAACAACCTGCAAATTGTCAAGAAGTAATACATCTTTCTTATGCAGATTGTGTCCATGGGAAGGAAGAAGTTCAGTGCAGATTTTCAGCTGATGTTCAGACTTCTCAAATTATTCCTATTTATTGGGTTCATAGTGATCCTCGTGGTACTCTTCACATTCCTAAACCTGAGGACTGGAGATATTTTTGCGAGCTTACTCGCCTTTTTGCCAACGGGATGGGCTCTGCTGCAGGTCCATTGTTACTTCTTTTATATTCTTTTTAACAGAAAATATTTGAATTATAAAAATCATCCATATTAGCAACATGTGATAGTGCTCTTCGAATGGCCCAATACATGGTATTCTCTTCACCTACATGTATCTGGTTTCACCAAAGGATTAGGAACTCTACATAAATTATGGTTTTCCCTATGCAGATTGCCCAAGCTTGCCGGCCTATAGTGAAGGGATTGGGAATGTGGGGGTCTGTTAAAGCTCTAGCAAGAGGGTACGAGTATATCATGGGATTAGTGATATTTACACCCGTGGCGGTTCTAGCCTGGTTCCCATTTGTCTCAGAATTCCAGACTAGGCTGCTCTTCAACCAGGCCTTCAGCAGAGGACTTCAAATCCAGCGGATTCTGGCTGGTGGAAAGAAGCACAAGTAAATAATACATGTATAAACCTTACAAAACTGAAGATTGGAACAAGACTTGTAACAGAGGCAGCAGTGTTTTGAAGAGAACCTCGAGCTTGCTACACACAGACAGTATATTATCTATATATCATTGGATAACACAACTGCTTCAGAATCTCGATATAATTTGTCGATATGTAGTTACCAGTGTTCTACAAATTTTTTTAAAAACAAACGCTTTTGCATTTTGATACATACTTCACATCCATGTTTACTTGTGATATGTATACAGCAAAGCTGACAATATGTACCGACTTCCTATCCTTGTAGATTTGGTGCTATATATACAGCAAAGCTTACAGTATGTGCCGTCGGGCTATAATTCAATTAATTTATATATATATATAAAGCAAAACACTAACACGACCTTAACGGGTCTTCAAACGCCATTAGAGAAGGTTGATGGAAGTATGGATTTTTCAATTGTGTATATAAGGGGGCGTAAACCTGACCTCCAGAAGTGATAAAAAAAAAAAGTAATATTTAAAGTAATAAGAGGGAAAATATTACTTTAAATACAGAATTAGCAAATGAAAATCAAACTAGCATTCTTTAATATTATGGAGTGCATATCTATCTATCTATTTATCTATACAAAAGCTCGAAAACATCGTGCTAGGTCAAGGGGACCATATTCCTGATAATGGCATTGATTCCACACCTCAAAGCTAACTTATGTTTGTACAAACAAAGACAACTCTTATTAAGCCGTTGTTTAATCTCTATTTTTTAAAAAATACATTTTTCTCTCTTTTCAATCACATTCTTCAATAAAATAATATAATACACAATCCAAAAACTTTTCCTTCATTTTTGACCATACATTCTCCATCAAACCTACTATTCCAAAATGTAATCTACATAAAAAAAAGGGCTCAAACAAATGTGCGATGAACAAAGACAAATCCTTTACTAGACAATGCATGCCACAAACGACAATTATGTCGAAGGAATAAATATAAATAAACAAATTTCTTCACTATATGATAACTTGAGCTTTAAATGAGGTGATTTGACTCGGTACAACTGGGAAAAATCCTATTCTAAATAGAACAAAAGGGGACAAAAAAATTAAAATTATGTTAAAAGATATAAATAAAATAAACGTCTTCATTCTATAATAACTTTTATTTAAGATGAGATGATTCACTATAATATCATGAGCATTGAATTAAAGTACACAGATAAACATTTCGATGATGTAGTTCAACACTGACAACTCAACAATTGCATCTCTCTTTCCAAATGTGCCACAGGCTGCCTCTGCTTCTTTACGTATGGTGTAAGCAGGTTCTGCCAACAGCAACCGTACAAGTTGATTCAACTAACATAATTGAAAAAGCATCCTCAGCTCAGGCACGCCTTAACTTGTATAGAGCCACCATAAGGAGAATTGAAAAAGCATGGTGGTCTGCAGCTGATGCTGGATGAGTGGGGAGGGACTTGAATAATTGTTAGTATGTAAAGATAATATTATCCTTTTTTCCTGGAATCGATGAAACAAATAAAATACATAAAAATAAAATCCGCTATATGGAAAGTTTAATAGACAACATCAAAGAAAGACTGCAGCAAGTACCTGCAGCACAGATTGTCTCTAAGTAAGAGGTTAATGAAACCTCATCAGAGATGCTGCAATCTACACGGTATAGTGAACTACCTTTGAAATGACCACCAAAAATACACAACTCAACTTGACTTGGGTACAAAAAAAAATCAGTAAATCCATGCCTTATTGCACACCATTTCTGAAAGGTGTGCTGTATTTAAAACAGGACATCCCAAATTCACAAAATGCACATTACTCCTGGGCTCCAATTTTTCGCAATTCTCCCTTGTATTCATTTGACTGAAGAAACCATAAGTAGAACGTGAATGTTTGTCCCAACTACCAGAAATTTCATCAAATATCATCAAATCTACCTCTTTTCAGGGATTTTGTGAAATCCCCACCCTCCGTTGGTTGGGTAAAAGTGTAATCTAAGCCTTGTGCAGAATTATTTCCCAGGTCTACATTAACCTCATCGCTGTTCACCTGTATTAACCATGCTTAAATTATAAACGCTGGAGAATATCATAAAATAAGGACCAAGGGAATATCTTCCACAAATATAAAGGTCATCAAACACAAGTTTATCAAAATCTTAATAAGACATGTCAGTTTAAAGCTACTTATTGTAACATAAGAGTTACTTTATAATAAGTAACTAGTTTACTAAAAACTGAGAAAAAAAGGAATATATCCAAAAATGTTTGGAATTTGAAAATTTACTTAAAATAATTTTTACTTAGTTTTAAGCTTAGCTAAACATTTTCTTAGCCATATTCCTGTGGGGCCTTACCATCTGAAGCACATCCAAACAACTCTCTTGTCTGTTAGATCCATCAGGCAGAACAGGATGCTGACTCAGAGCAGAAGCATACGGATTCATACCAGAAAAATCGCCTCTAAAGCCGACATAATCCATATTACCAGGGAAGTATGGCACAAATAAGTTCCCAATCGATATTTCTTCAGTTGCATTAACTTCAGGACAGAAATCCAGTGGAGCTAAAAGATCATTCAGTTCTATATATGCTACATCATTTTGTAGAAGCATTTGGTTCATAAGATGGCCATCTTCCTGCATGCCAGTGGTATCAAATCCACCTTCAGTCATCTGAGCCCAATTATCCAGGTCACTCAATCCGTTGCATATATCGTTTCCACTGGTACCCGGTAAGGTTGTATTGTTCACATCGTCATCATCATGATACTGCTTTTGTGGAAAATAAAATTTTCTCAACATCTATTTAAACTAATGCAGGATAAAGAAAAAACAGATAGAACTCAATTTGTTCAATCAGAAACAGAGTCACCAGGTTAACAATTTCCTAATATGACCTACTACAGATTAGCAAGGTATAAGGAGAGAAAATGCCTTGATATCCAATTTAGCCTTTTTTAAACACCAGTGCACACAAATTGAACATATATCATGCACAATCGTAGAACAATCCCCCCTGTTTTTCATCTGTCCCATCCAAAAATGGGTAGTGTTATAGTATCTTATGTAATAATAAAATAGAAGGTATTCAAACTTGAGGTCTTTAAGAAACCAAAAATGAAAGACATCTAACTGATGCAATATACTAATTCATCTACAAATCTACATCATAGAACACCTAAATCTTTTCCATAATATCACCTTTCACTTTATTACCTAACTTCTACAGTTCCCCTATCCTATCTCCAAGAAGTCTCTGTAACATTTGAATGAGCGCCCAATAAGAATAAACCACGCCTAACCAGTAGTCCACTGAGCTCAACTTTATCATCTAGTAAACTGTCAGGTCATCTAACCTAACCACATCAGCTCATTGCATGCCAAGTAAAATCCCTCAAATCCAGCCCACCCTGAAGCCCCCAAAGAAGGAGGAGATAAGGATAATGTAGAAGGGTAAATATAAAAATGTCCTGGGACAAGAAAGAATGGGAAATACCCCTAGACATGGGTGGTACATGTCACATAAGATGCAGCCATAATATAATGCTTTGTCAAAAATAAATATTAATGTAAGCGAAGATAATGAGAGCAGGACGTTCCACTAGTCAACTTTAAACAAAGACATACCTTGCGATTTCTTTTCTTGCTAAAATTCAACATGCTGTGATCTGTAAATGGGGCCAGAAAATGAACAATATCATCATCCGAATCATCAAGAACCAATTTGCTAGCAGAAGGTTTGGCAGAAGATGGACCTGCTTCAATCAAAGACAATTCCGAATTACTTCCAGGAATGATCGTGCTTGTTTTAACAGAAGAACTCCTATTTTCAGGTAAAGTTGATGCAGCAACAGATGGTTCATCAGAAGGCAAAGATTCAGAGCATATCAGTGTTTCGTCATCATTGTCCCAATCTGCTTCATTAAATGGTGCTCCATACTGTGCTCCATTTTTTGGGCCTGGACCATTCTTCTTGAAGACATTACAGAGCACATAGGTGTCCTGAAAAATATGGAGATTGTGAACAATAATTTGATCAAGGGATAAGGGAACTCTTACAACCACTGTTTCCAGTTGTAAAGGATAAACTGAGGAATTATTCAGCAACAATATCATAATTCCGTCTCAAATAGACATTAATTGGAAAATGATAGGACATTGCAAAAGGGAGTAAAATTGCATGAGATTTTTGTGCAGAAGTATTCTACATATTCTAGCAAACATCACTCAGAAGATAGCAGAGGGGAGAATAACACGTGCTGCATTAAGATACACTCAGCATTTAATGTACAGAAAAGGAAACCAAAAACAAATTTTTTTCAATAGCCTTTTCAAACAGAACATAAACTCCAACCTAGAATTAGCCATTATTCACAACATCAAGAAGCATTCATGTGTACACAAAATAGAAAAGCAACTTGGCATAAAACCTTGAAACATTGGATATAAATGCAAAAATTGGCCATCGTTCTAAATTTTTAATTCCTATATGGTATTATATAGATGAGAGATGGTCAGACACAAAACAATCTCAAAGAAGATCCAGAGAATCTTGCAGAAGAGTGGTAGGCTAATCATAATGATAGTAACTTGTTATCCACTTATCCTTCCGAAAGATGCATTGAAAATTCAAAATAAAATACCTGAATTCCTGCTTCAGCCAACTGCCTGTCTAGTATCCTGAACTCGTGGATAACCCAATCAGTTCTTTGCCCTTGGGGTGCATGACCAAGGTGAAAAATCAAGGTTTTCACCATTCCCACAATGTTGTTATTGTAAAAAACAGGCCTATCTTTCCCTGTGGTTTTCCAGTATCCATTTTCAGTACTGCGCTTCACTCTAACCCCACTTGCATACCTCTTCTCTCTTGGGCAAAAGAAGAACCACTCTAGATCCTTACTTTTCAAGCAAGATTTATCTGCAAGGAAAAAGCGAAGTACATAAAACATAAAAATGTGTAGACAAGGCAAAAAAGCACAGAGACAAAAACTATATCACTTCTATGGTGCCAAACAAAGACAGTGTATCACTTATACTCATATTGACATATATGATGCTTGCAAATGGTGATAAAATTTGCTACTAGCTCTGGATTATGTAGAAGTATTTGAGAACATGTGTGCAACATAAATTTAAAAGTTGACTAGTGAAAATTGCTAGATAATGATTACAACAGCTGCAGATAAACCAATAAAAATAAAAGTACCTGGGAGTTCCCATGGAGAGAACTTATAAATGTTGACCTCTGTGATAGCTTCAGAATGAAGCTTCTTTCCCATAACCTTCCGCTTAAGATAGTACATAACTAGCTCAACATCAGTTGGATGAAACCGAAATCCCGGAGGAAGTGAGATCCTACCCATCGCAGAATGACAGCAGAATTCCCAGCTGTTGAACAACTTAAGAAGAATTTAACCTATAATATATTCGTACACCTTAATCTATCCACACCAAACGCTTCTCCACAAGAATAAAAAGCAGCCTGTGCCGAAAAAGTAGGCAAAGAACATGTATATGCACCAAAAACCCCCAAACAGTAAACCCCTATTGTCAAGTCCAATGCCGAAACAACAACTTTTGGAAGCACCAAAGCCTCCCCCGGTTCATGAAGCAGAAAGCACCCCACACAAACCACTGATGTTTCTTGCAAGAATCAAAAGACATCTGGTGTGCAATACCAACCCTGAATTTTTCACATCATCATAGTTACCCACTTCATAACAATGATCCTTGCATCATAAACTCAGATATATAGAAACGAAGCCCACTTTAGAAGTATCCAAACAAATGTCTAAGTTCCACTGATCCCAATACAATGAACTAAATATAAAATATTTGGACTTTGATCAAATTTGAATAGACCGTGTGGATAATCAAGAAATTATGGCTTCAGAGATTTAAAAACCTTAAAACCCAACCAGAAAAAAATAAAAAAGGCATCAAACTAACAAAGATCAGGGAAAAAGAAAACTTTTTCAGCATTACTAACTCGATAAACCAGCCAAACAGCTGCAGGCACCTCGATATCTATCATCATTTTAGTACAATGAAAATAATCATTACAACAAAAAGAAAGAAAAGACACGTGTAGCTGAAACCATGTATGAAATACCAAAACAATAAAAACATTAACTCATCGATTTGAACTCGTATTCAAAACACAAAGAAGCTTCAGAACGTTTCTACAAAGTCAAAGCCAATACCAGAATCAAAACTCCAAAAACCCATATCGTTCATTTCAAAATTGGTCAAATCAACAAAACAATAACAGATAAAATGAAAAGAGCTATCATAATTCATAAACAAAGAAACTTGCCTAGAAGGGAGAGGAGAGAGACGACTCGGAGACAACGCGGAGTCCAAATATGTGAAGCGAAATCGTGCGAGCTGGGCCTTGGGTTTATATAGAGGAATTTGGGGGTTTAGTGAGAGAAAATGAAGAGA